TAATCACTCGGGAACCTACGTGGCGGACATCAAACTTGTCCACGTATTTGCTCGATAAAACGCCATGCTACGTGGCGGACATCAAACTTGTCCACGTATTTGCTCGATAAAACGCCATGTATGCTTATGGACCAAAAATGATGAATTTTACAACTTATTTTATCAGGTTTGATGTCTGCTAAATTAGTGGACCATTTCTAGAAAATAACTAATATAATGGACCAAAAATGAAATTTTGCCTTGCCCGCGAAGTGGAAGGTATACTAATCACCAATCGCCCAATTAATTAGTTGTAAAGCTTCATGATTGATATGAAAACTAAATGATGATTATCGTTTAGAAACAACAGCCACTATGAATTAATTAATTTACCTAACGCAATCCAACATCTTCTTGACCATTCAAAAGTTAAAATGGTCAGCCCAATATTTTCTCCACACGGAGGAAAAGAACAGTACTCTCCGTCCAAAAGATAAAAGATATATTGCGGGTTCTATTCCATTTGATATTTTTCTAAGCCCTTTTAAAATTTTAAAAATCGTGTTATATTTAATTTAGAATTTCGAAGACTTTTAAAAATTTCTTTGAAATTTTAAAAAGTCTTACGTAATTATGAAGTGCTTAATTTTATTTGATACTATAATTTGTTAAGATTTGTTAAGATTTTTAAAAGACAAAAACCATATACATAATCCCACTTCCAGACTCAGGGTGTATTTGTTTAATAATTTAACCAATTTCCACTAAATTCATAGTTACAATTTAACTCAACTTTACTATTATCAATGTTATTAATATAATTAAATAATAACAAATAATCATTCTTATCACATCACTTTAATTCACTATTCGTCAACTTACATATTTTTAACCAACCTTCATTTCACATCATATATCTCCTACTTTTACATCAATTCAATTTTAATTATTTTAATTTAAGTACTATTTTAATATAATATTAAAATTTCATTAACAACTAACTATACTAATTTATTTAAAATTAACATCTAATCTAATTAATCAAAATAACACATTTGATTACAAGCACAAGATTTTATAGTAATCCTTCAAAATTTGAAAATTCTAAAGTCCGAAGTCTAAAAGAATCTCAAAATCTCAAATAAATACAGTCACTAAATAATAAAATAATAAAATGGACATTTTATAGCACAGTAGATATGTATCTTTGTTTTTTCTTTGAAAAAAAAACTGACATTTCATAGTCTAAATGTCTAATTTTCTTAAATATGATGGATTTGACACGCTAACAACAAACAAGAATTTGTGAATTTTTTTTTTTTTCGATACAATAGATGAGATCACTACACGCCTAGAAAGCTAAATTGCAAATGGTTCGTGAATAGGTCACGCCAACTAGATCATGGTGTAACCAATGACGAAAACTCCCCGGTGGATCCTGAAAGAGCTGGTACCTTAAGTTAATAAATTATTACATAATGCAAATATTTTTAAATTATTAGACAATGTAAATCATTCTAATTTACATTGTATATGTCCCATTAACACCAAACACATCTCAGTAATTTATTTCTTGAAGGCCGGCCACATATTGAAATTAGTGTATTTAAAATTCTAAGATACAATAAACTCTGTAAATCTATCCTATGGTCTATGCACGTTGATCATTCATTTTTAAAAGAAAACAAAAATTATGATATATACGTAACAACCTAGGCATGTGACAAAATGATATAATATTACATTCATAATTCATTTTAAAAAGAAAACAAATCCATGATAAATACACCACCAAAAAACGATATAATTATAGAGGCTAAATTATACTACCTCCTATTTTTAATATATGTCGTTTTGAGAAGTTGCACACTAATTAAGAATATTTTTTGTCAATAATAACTTTATTTAATGAAGATAGAGATGAATGTTTTGAGAAAAAGTGAAGAATGAATATGAAAAGACGTAATGTATTTATTGGCTAAATGAGGGTAATAATGGAAAAATATGTACAAAAGATAAAAAACAACATTTATTTGACAAATAGTTGAAAAAACTAGAATGACATTTTAAAAAAATAGGAGGGAGTAAAATATAGCCAGTATATTGTACGTTGTGGCAATAATATCCACTATTTTTACGAATTGACAATATTACCCAACAACCTTTAAAATTTCGAGATTATTACCAAATCCAACCAAATTCGACTAGATAAATTGCAAAATATAGTCAGTTTTTTTTACGCACTGACAACAACAGTCATCGAATTTGGTCGGACATGAATAATAACCCCAAAATTTTGAGAGTTGTCGGCTGATATTGCCAATTCGTAAAAATGATGACTAATATTGCTGCTGCATATAAGATACTGACTATATTTTGCAATAAAACCTACTAACTATTAGTATAAAATTTATGGTGAGACAAGACAACAAATGATTATGTGGATTGATTGATTATACATTTTTTAGACAAAGTACATGCTTGATTTCTGAAATGTCATGTACATTATTTTTTAATTAATTCAAAAATAAAGTATCTGAATATTTTTATAATAAAATGCAATGTTATCTCATTGTTAAGGGCATGATTGTTTATCATCCCTACAGTAATTTTTTTTACTCAAATTCAAATTTAACTCAACTTTAACTCAACTCCACTATCTTCAATATTATTATATAATTAAATAACATCAACAAATCATTATTACATATCACATCAACTTTAATTCACTATTCATCCACTCACATAATTCTAACTAATTTTAACTAACTATCACTTCCAATCATTTTTCTCCTACTTTACGTCAAATCAACTTTAACTATTTTATTTTAAATACTATTTTAATATATCCACTAACAACTAATCATACAACTTTTTCTTAAACTTAACCATAATTAAAAAATTCTAGTTTTTTTACTATTCAAACCATAAACAATCACCCCCTAAACATTCTTTGTAAAAAAAAAAAATAAAAAAAAAAGAGTGATGGGAATGAAGGGGAAAAATCAAATGTGGTCTAGTTGTCAACTAGTGGTGCTTCTTCAGTCCTGCTACCGTGCGTCCCGGCACACCTAACAAAATATGTCAAGTCATTTTTAAAATGAATATATTACACATGTTTATTTTATTATATAACATTTTCATTTTAAAAATGTCTTGGCACACGTTGCTAGGTGTGTCAGAACGCACTATTTGCGGTGCTTCTTCTTTGCTTTCCCACAATTTTCCAGTTTTTATTATAAATATATAATTATTTAATTAGTTTAATAATTTCCTTCAAAGAAAAGAACGTCTTATCAATCCATCATATATCCATCCATCCATCAATATATAATAATAACATAAACTCA